GCATTGTAGTTGAATTATTGCTTTTATTTTACATATTTGCTGTGTTACAGTCACACCAGTTCATAGGTGTGTGTGTGTATAAGTGTGTGTGTGTATAAGTGTGAGTGGATGTGTTGGTTTTGCACTCTTTATGTTTTAGAGTTTCACCCTGTCATTGCTGTGTACTTTATTTCTGCATTGTGTCAGATTTGTAGATTGACAGAATTGTTGTGTTTTTGTCGATTTCCCATTCATTACCTATGGTCTGCAATTTTTGACAGAAGACCACAAGTGTGACTATTTTTTTACGAACACTTAGTCTGCTCGAATCATGCCCTCAATTTTTTTGTGTGTTCACATTCCAAATACCATAAAAGTCACCAAGTTTCGTACCATTCCGCTGTGATTTAAAAAAATTCAAAACAGAAAATTTTTCGGTCAAAAGTGACCGAAGAGCACCAGAGGGTTAAGTAAGGAAATCAAAAATCAATGTAGCACTAAACTGTTGCGGTGTCACGTGACTTGGGCTTGCCTGTTAGGTTGACTTTCATTACCTTGGGAAAACATCATGACCTGACCTCAGAGGAGAGAAGGGCAGCACACTTCATCCTCTCCAAGATGGAAAGGAGGGAAAAACCAGCATCCTGGGCAGCTCGTTCATCTTGTTAAATTAGATACTCCACTTCACTGAACATGAACTGAGCTACCCACCACCGCACCTTTTTCCTCTCTCTCCATCTTTATGCTCTTTTGTGTTTTCTTCATCCCTCAACAGCCACTGCTATCTTCACCTCCCCCTGTTATCCCTCCATTCTTTTCTCTCTGCCCAGTTCCTCTTTCACTCCCTTTCCCTCATTCCTTTTCTTTCCCCATACTCTCTTTTCCTCCATTCCCTCCCGTTTCTCTCACCACTTGTCGGAGTGATTGCCACAGAGAGGATTTAATGCAAACACAATACAATCAATTTCCATTTTCACTGCTCTCTTTCTCTTTCTCTCTCCCACATGCTAAATCGGCTGACGAAAAACTATTTCCTTGCAGAATGAAGACAAAGATGTTTGCTTGTGCTAATAAGGAAAATAATGAAAAACAAACAGAGATGATAAAGTGTGTGGGAGCGTGTGTGCCGCCTATTCATACAGAATAACATTCTCAGCTTAATCTCATTTAAAACTGAGACCAATTGGGCATAGATCACATACATATGCATGCAAAATGTCAGGGCTTGTGTGTGCATTATAATAACTACACTCTCAGCATATGGGCTCATTCACATAGGAGGGAGCACAAAACAGACTTTTAAACATGAAGTGTAAAAGTTTCAGTTATTTCACTACCTTGAGAAAACAGTGCCTAATTATCTCCACAAAAACAGAGGGGGAATAAGAAAAAATGTAAGTAATTAAACAGAGTAATAAAGTTTAAACAGATATAAATAGAGTGTACAGAGAGACAGACAGACAGACACAAGATCGAAGGATAGACAGACATACAGACTGGTCAAAGCAATGGCTTAAGGCTGGCCCACAATAAAAGATTTTTAAAATCTTATCAGATTTTCACAATGTGACCACGCACATAACGACAAAAAATTTGGAGGTGAGTAATGCTTCTGTCTTCTGTCAGCTCGCTTTCAAATTGGGACTTGTTTTGTTCCACATGACAGTCTACAGTGTGAGTCTGCGTTTGTCCTCGGGATACCCCACACAGGATTTCTGAACGTAAATATTCAACATGCTGGATATTTATGATTTGAGATCGGTGTGACCCGAATGTGCTTCAGAGCAGATTCAATCACTCTTAACACACCCCACACCACAGGAAAATCTTATAAGATAATCTGCAGAACTATCAAGACAATTGGGACTTTACCTAAGATTGTCAAAAGGTGAGAATTCGGCCCAAAGTCGGCCTGATTATCTTGTAGTGTGTGCCCTGCTTTAGCACAGTGAAGTTTGAAGGTAGACAGACAGACAGAAAGATACATGAAGCTTGAAGGTAGACAGACATACAGAGAGAGACAGACAGACAGACAGACAGACAACAGATAGATAGATAGATAGATAGATAGACAGACAGACAGACAGACAGATAGACAGACAGACTGGTCAAAGCAATGGCTTAGCACAGTGAAGTTTGAAGGTAGACAGATGGATGGATGGATGGATGGATGGACAATTATATATACAAAAACAAAGGAAGAAATAGAAAAATCTAAGTAATTCATTTACAGAGTAATAAAGTAATAGAGTTTACAGAGAGACAGACAAGAGATAGATAGATAGACAGACAGACAGACAGACAGATAGATAGATAGATAGATAGATAGATAGATAGATAGATAGAGAGGACTAGTAGAAGCAATGGCTTAGCCATTGAGACAGAGCGATACAAACAGACAGATAAAGAGACATACAGACAGACAATAAATAGATAGATAGACATACAGACTGGTCGAAGCAAAGACTTACCGTGGTGAAGTTTGATGATAGACAGATAGATAGATTGGGAGACCCTGCACATAGTTGTTGAGCTGTGGTACTCATTTTGAACTTGTGCTGGCAGCAGCAGTATGAATCTAGACCAACATGTGTCTAAAAGAAGAAAAAAACAGATATAGATCTACCTGGTCTGTTTTACAGAGTCTGAAGCTGGTTCTCATGAGGCTGAGGTAGACTCTTCCTTTGAGGCCACGCAGCTCGACGTAGCCACTCTTGTTTGTGTTATTTTTGCGAGGCTGATGGGAAATGGAGGACTGGGAGCTCATAGCAGACTGGAGAACCTCTAGCCAATCCTGACGCTCTCCTTAGAGGGAAGACAGAAGATGGAGAGAGGTAAGAAGAAGTATGCATGCCTGTTGAAGAATGCTGCAGTCTGTTTGATGTACGTTAGCGAATGCGCAGGTATGCGTGCGCGTGTGTGGAGAGACGCCATGCCATAGGAATAAAAGGGAAGGAAAAAGTGTCTAATATTATTGTTATACTTTATAAACTTTAAAATCTGCAAACAAAGCAGGTACGCAAAAGCCCCTGTGTCTCATTGCATTGTGTCTGCAACTACGTTTGTGTGTGTGCGCATGAGATGGGGGAAGGAAGCCTGAGAGGGTTCTCTTGTGCTGTGTTTAAATAGAGCTACAGGGGCTTGCACAAATTCATTGCGAGCACACACACTAGCCAAAAAACATTAACAGCTGGATACTCTTATCCTCTGCAGGTCTGCAGAACCTGCCACATCTAGAGAGTGAGAGAAGGGGGGTAAGAGAAAGAGACAGAGAGAGAGTGAGATCTCATGTCATTAAAGGTGAGTGTTTTTGCGTACAGTGTCTTTTGGACAAAACTCAAATTGTGCTTGTCAGCAAAAGTTTTCAGGTGCAACGTAAGTGTTGGTGCATCAGATATGTAACCACATTTGACACCTTAAGTTTAGTTTGTGTAGCCATATCTATCCAATTCCACTTATTCTATTAACTAAAGTTTTTGTTAATACTTTGGTGTTGTCAATTGACTAAATTTTTAATTGTGATTAATCATATTATCATAATTATTTGTTAATTCATTGTGTTCATTTTTAAGGAACGAGCAGAATATGTAAAAATGTAGGATCTCTGCATATATGTATAAACTAAAGACACCTGAAAGAGGTAGATTTTGGCAACGGTACTCTTTATTGGTCTCACTCACACATCTCATTCTGTATTCCTCACACTGCCCAGGAAATGCAAAGACTGAAATAAAAAACCTGAAATAATGAGATAATATAACAACTTTGCTCACACTTTATGGATATGTTTAAAGCTGTTTTGCAAGACTGCTGCCCGCGAGATTCACTTGTAGGTGATAATTAAACAACACCATAAAAAAAGTGTAAATAACTTTACTTCATTAAACATTCCATCTGGGTTTATAAATATGTATAAATATGATGAAATCCATTAAGAACTTTTTATCTATTATTTACTGATTCATATCAGTTACCAAGGTCAAATGTTTGGCTGGTTAGAATGATCCCATTTTTATAAGCATTATAGTTTGGGATCAGTAAGACATTAATACCTTTATTCTGCAAGGATGCATTAAGTTGATCAAAAGTAACACTAAAGATATTTATTTGATTTCAATTTCAAATAAATCCTTTTATTTTCAACTTTCCATTCATCAAACAATCCTGAAAAACTAAATGTATCATGGTTTCCATCAAGTCATTTTTAATTGTAACAAAATTTCCCAATATTCCTGTATTTTTTATCAATAAATGCAGCCTTGGTGAGCAAGAATTCTTCAAAAACGTAAAAAAAAAATAAAAAATCGTACTGACTTGACACGTTTGAACAGTAGTGTAAAAATCACGTTTAGTTTCAGGTGACAAAGCAACCTGACAGCAGAACTGAACACCCACGAATCGCCATTAGCAAAGATTGCAGATTATATAGGCTTCCTTGAAAAAAAGGAACTGTGTTAAACAATTTTTTATTTACTTTGACAGGCCTAGTTATCACTGTAAGTGACCATGGCTTCAACACACCCTCACAGACAGTTACAAACTGCACTTTGCAAAGTCCCAAACGTCAAAAATTGGTGGCTGCAAAATATATTTTTCCCCTTTATCCATGAAAACATTGTTATTCCCAAAATATCACACTCTATCTGAAGGAAGAGACCTGCACAGCTGAGGACTGCCCCAGAAAGAGTACACAGCCATGAATGTTTGCTCACACACACACGCACACGCGCGCGCATCTAAATGATTCCCAGTGTGCTCGATCTCTAACACTAATTCTCATTCTTATCTTTTGTGCTCATCCCATGACCACCCACTTCCAGCTCTTTCACTCACTCATTCTCTCTCTCCTCCTCTCTTATGTTTATCTTAAGATTGATGACTCTTTCAGACTGCTATAAAGCTGTTTAAAGATGCATGAGCTGATCGGACCAGTGCTCTCTCTGTCTCTCTTTTTTTTTGGATAGTGGAGTACTGTTAAAGTACTGTTAATTGCATGCCTAAACTGACTTCCCTCAGAGTAATTAACTTACCATGGGTCAGAGGTCATTACACAAGAACTGGGGATAAAGTAGGTACTGAGGAGGCCATTATTTGCTGATATTCTGAGACGCTATGGTACATAGCAGTGCTATCAACCTCAGATTTACCACAGTAATTGCAGCGGGGAAAGCACAGGCCATGTCAATAACATGGTAACTGATTGGCTCATGGTGAACTCCTCACCCTACACTGTTTCTTTTACTGCAAGGTGTCTGAAAAAGCAAAATAATCTCACCGATCTTAATTTTTTGCTTAATTTACAAATAATGACAGATAACATGGCATACTTAGGTATACAGATACACAACATTACACTGCTAAGGTACCACCTATAGAAGTACTATAGTACTTTTTTGTTTTCAAAAAATATATAAATTTTCAACTATAATTAGCACAAAATCATGCTAAAATGCTATACTAATGAACTAGCTGTAATATTAAAGTAACACTGTCAATTAATCACGACTAGAACTATCCTCAGAGCCACTAAATGCTGACACAGTTTTAAATTGATCCTGAATTGCAGCTAAAGTACCAGGCTACTCCTTAAACACCATGAGTCTCTCTATTAAGACCATAATCAGGCCTTTTCACAGTCTTTAAATCAGGCTTCATTACAGCTTAGTAATGAATATTAAGAAAAATATCCCATAAAATGCACAGGCAATGGTGTGGCAACTATATGCACCAACAGGGTGTTTACTGTACATATTAAATCTAAAGCTATCATCATCATTATCATCTCGGTTGTTTCAGTTCTGTCATAATATTGTGATCTCCTTGAGTCTGGTTGGCTTTAGTTTTCATCTCTCTTTTACTCTGTCTCTGATTTGGTGTGCAGTGGAAGATCTACTCAGAACATCTTATCTTATAGCAGAGATGGTAAGGTGATAAAAATATGAGTGAAAAGATGATAAAAGATCAAGAGTGAGAGTGAGAGTGAATTGGTTTAAAAGAGATTAGCAGAGGGGGATCGAAATGTGAGATAGACAGAAAAGCAAAGAGGCTCACCTTCTTTCTCTGCCCGAAACACAAAGGTTCTTACAGAGGTGACCACCTCAAACTTATTCTCACCCAGAGCACAAACTTGTTTAACTGCTGAAACAGGTATCAGGCCCTTCGAGTACATCTCCTGCAAGGAATGAGGGAGACAGAAAAATTATTCATAGCGCAAAGTGATTATGGACAGGTTACAATTTACCAGTCACAAGTTTGGACACATTTGACTGAATTTATGTCTCTCATAATCTCAGAAACTTCTTTCTTTCTAAAGACTTACTAAAACAAAACAAAAAAACACAAAAGCAAACAAAAACACAAAACAAAACCAAATAAAAGCAAACTAAACAAAACACAAAACCAAACAAACAAAAACACCCATTTTAGATGCACTGCTTCAAACAAAAACCTAACAAATAACACAAAACAAAATGAAACAAAACGCAAACAAAAACATAAAACAACCAAATAAAAAGCAAACTAAACAAAACAAAAGAAAACTAAACGAAAAGCAAACAAAAACACAAAACAAACCAAAAAAATAGCTAACAAAACACCCATTTTGGATATATATATATATATATGATAGCGTACAAACATATTGAAGAAAAGAGGGATTGAGTCAAGCACACACTCACACACTCAAGCAGGCCTGATTCCTAATACCAGTCCCCAGCCAACAGGCTCGGCACTCCAGTATTTATAGTCTGATGTTTTGGAGAGATGAGGGAAACAGAGCTAGTTGTTTAGAGAAAGGAGTGTTTGGTTTCTCTGTGTGCTTCAAACCAACATAAGCCTCCAAAGCAGCAATAGAGCTCTGAGAGACCTCTTTTGGTCTACAGAATTCATGCACAGCACTCCAGCCGCTCTGAAATAGCAGAATGTGATGGATAGAAAAGGGCAAATACTGTGGAGAACAGAAAATGAAGAAAGAGGAGGAAAGGGAGACAGGAGCTCTGTTCCAAAACCTAGTGTGCTGCCTACGCAGGTAACATTTTAGGCAACATAGCTGACAAGCCTGTTTTGAAAGACATTTTAATCCTGTTCTGCAATCCTGTTTTGGTCGAATATTAAGGTAGCGTTGCATACATTGCTTTGCAAAGAAGCCAATTCCAAAATGTACTGCAAAGTGATAAATGCAAGGTACACCAAGTTAGGGGTTTGTAAGTTGAGTCTTATAGAGTGCTATTTGTATAACACACAAGTTACGTCCGTGTAGGTCATTCCAAAATACTCGCTTATGAGGTTTCATAAATTTCACTTAGGATATAGAGCTGCCTATGTAGACAGTAGGAAGTGATGTAGTTCATTGGGTTTAGGAATAGAGCTAGAGTGAGTGACATAGACGGGGGAAATGCAAGGGAAAGAGGGGGGAAAAGAAAGATTAATTTGTCCATTTCAGTTGGCTGTTAATTATCATGATGACCTTGCACTATTTCTAGAACTCGTCCATACAGAAATAGAAGAGAAGATTTAGTGAGGGACCCCCTCCTCAGCTGGCGCAAATGGAAGAGGTAATGCCAAAGATAGACAGTAAGAGAGCGGATGAGGTAGAGAAAGTGAGGAAGCAGAGACAATGAGAAAGAGAGAGGAATATGATAGCTTTGGTGATTGCTTGATAGAGAGAGAATGAGTGAAGAACCAAGGGATCAAGAGAAGCTCACAAAGCGGATGGAGCATAAGATTGCGAACGAGAAAGAGAGAGAAAGTGGGGTCAGAGAGAGCGTCATCTCCTCAAATTAAGGCAGCATGTTAACAACGATGGCTGCAGCTAACCCTAATTATGGTAGGGGCAGCCATCACCTCTCTCTGGGATTTCACTCCTTGCTCACTCTCTCTTACTTTGCATCCTTCCCACCGCCGAACTCGCCGGCATATTAATGAGACTTCCTCTGTCTAAAATCTGGACAGCAGCGGAAGAGAGGAAATGGATAAAAGTGAAGAGGTGTGCATGTTTATAGGAAGCTAAGTGGAAATAATGAGGTGCTCTCTAAGCTGGCGTTAATTATTCATTATAATTAAAATTTTCAGGGTCGGAATGATGAAGGGGGCTTATAGAGTACATGTGCAAACGCAAGCGCATCCATTAAGAGTTTAGAGATGGTTTAAGTACTTATACACATATAACAAAGATGTAGGCTGCACAAAAAAAAAAATGTATAGCAGGATTTATTTGTATAGTTTGCGCAAATCTGTGACGATGTGTCACTCTCACAGCAGTTGTTCTACATAGGTCTAATGCACTTTGATGTTCATAACCACATACATCCAAATGTGCTACAAAGTTTAAGGGACTGACTGATGAAGTCTGCATTCGCTCAGAGAGACCCAGAAATGCCATTAGCTTTTGTTTTTACCAGCAGTGAGTTAGTTCTGCAGTGGAGCCATGGGGACACCACCTGGCCGAGGGCCGCTAATGCACTTGAGTGTGGAAAATGACTTGTAAATGTACTGCATGCAATAAACTGATGATGATCAAAATGATGTATTTGCATTTTTTGGAACATCCTACACTAGCCAAAAGCACACAGCTGAATGTAGTGTTCTAGAAGATCTGCTGCCATACACTACCATCAAAGTCTGAAAGAATTAAGATTTGCTTAACGTTTTTGCAAGAAGTCTTGAAAGCTGTTTTCTATTTTAATATATTTAAAAAAATTAAATGTATTACACTCCAATACTCCAGCCATTACTCCTGTCTTGTCACATGATCCTTGAGATATCATTCTAATACACCGATTTGATTCTCAGTTATCAATTATTATTGGTGGTCAGTTATTAATACTGGTTCTTATGGTCATTAATGCTAAAACCATTTTTGCTGCTTAATATTTTTATGGAAACCATGATCCAAGATTCTTTGATCAATAAAAAGTTTAAAGGAAAAGCATATCATTATAAGTCTGCTGTCATTTTTGATCAATTTAAAAAAATATATATTTAATTTTTCATTTCTTAATAGTCATACTGAAGATTGGAGCAATGGCTGCTGAAATTCAGTTATCTAAGTAGAAAGCAGTTCATTTAAACTGTAATATTATACAGAAATAGAAGAGAAGATTTAGTGAGGGACCCCCTCCTCAGCTGGCGCAAATGGAAGAGGTAATGCCAAAGATAGACAGTAAGAGAGCGGATGAGGTAGAGAAAGTGAGAAAGCAGAGACAATGAGAAAGAGAGAGGAATATGATAGCTTTGGTGATTGCTTGATAGAGAGAGAATGAGTGAAGAACCAAGGGATCAAGAGAAGCTCACAAAGCGGATGGAGCATAAGATTGCGAACGAGAAAGAGAGAGAAAGTGGGGTCAGAGAGAGCGTCATCTCCTCAAATTAAGGCAGCATGTTAACAACGATGGCTGCAGCTAACCCTAATTATGGTAGGGGCAGCCATCACCTCTCTCTGGGATTTCACTCCTTGCTCACTCTCTCTTACTTTGCATCCTTCCCACCGCCGAACTCGCCGGCATATTAATGAGACTTCCTCTGTCTAAAATCTGGACAGCAGCGGAAGAGAGGAAATGGATAAAAGTGAAGAGGTGTGCATGTTTATAGGAAGCTAAGTGGAAATAATGAGGTGCTCTCTAAGCTGGCGTTAATTATTCATTATAATTAAAATTTTCAGGGTCGGAATGATGAAGGGGGCTTATAGAGTACATGTGCAAACGCAAGCGCATCCATTAAGAGTTTAGAGATGGTTTAAGTACTTATACACATATAACAAAGATGTAGGCTGCACAAAAAAAAAAATGTATAGCAGGATTTATTTGTATAGTTTGCGCAAATCTGTGACGATGTGTCACTCTCACAGCAGTTGTTCTACATAGGTCTAATGCACTTTGATGTTCATAACCACATACATCCAAATGTGCTACAAAGTTTAAGGGACTGACTGATGAAGTCTGCATTCGCTCAGAGAGACCCAGAAATGCCATTAGCTTTTGTTTTTACCAGCAGTGAGTTAGTTCTGCAGTGGAGCCATGGGGACACCACCTGGCCGAGGGCCGCTAATGCACTTGAGTGTGGAAAATGACTTGTAAATGTACTGCATGCAATAAACTGATGATGATCAAAATGATGTATTTGCATTTTTTGGAACATCCTACACTAGCCAAAAGCACACAGCTGAATGTAGTGTTCTAGAAGATCTGCTGCCATACACTACCATCAAAGTCTGAAAGAATTAAGATTTGCTTAACGTTTTTGCAAGAAGTCTTGAAAGCTGTTTTCTATTTTAATATATTTAAAAAAATTAAATGTATTACACTCCAATACTCCAGCCATTACTCCTGTCTTGTCACATGATCCTTGAGATATCATTCTAATACACCGATTTGATTCTCAGTTATCAATTATTATTGGTGGTCAGTTATTAATACTGGTTCTTATGGTCATTAATGCTAAAACCATTTTTGCTGCTTAATATTTTTATGGAAACCATGATCCAAGATTCTTTGATCAATAAAAAGTTTAAAGGAAAAGCATATCATTATAAGTCTGCTGTCATTTTTGATCAATTTAAAAAAATATATATTTAATTTTTCATTTCTTAATAGTCATACTGAAGATTGGAGCAATGGCTGCTGAAATTCAGTTATCTAAGTAGAAAGCAGTTCATTTAAACTGTAATATTTCACAATAGTACTGTTTTACTGTATTTTTGATTAAATAAATTGAGCCTTGGTGACTTCTTTCAAAAACATTTTAAAAAATCTTCATTATTCTGACTATTTGACCAACAGTCTATAAGTTGCAGATCCTGGGAAGCTGACTTGTGCCCCAAGTTGGATGGACTACAACCATCAAAACCCGGGAATGGGTGGTGAGAAAGCTTTCCACTGACACTCCCAGGGGACTTTTGAGCTTTTCTGGATTTCCACACAGTTGTACTTCAGAAACGAGGTAACTGATCCCAACCCAAACATCTCCACACACTCTGCCTACCTACAGGTGACACTCTAAACCTCTCTCACTCACACATACAAGCTAAAACTCATGAAAGTGATACTTGGATCCCCAGACATCACAGACCTGGTCGCAAGGTTGATGAAACATCAGGTAAGTTTGGGGAGAGACCATGCCGCTCCGTCCCCGAGGGTCCTGCAGAGAACCAGTGGGAGTGTGGTGCTTGCTTCTCTCCCACGCTTAAGAAGGTCTCTGATTGATGACATCATTATGTGATGTCAAGAAGCGAGCAGTGATTGAGATTAACCATTTCAATCAGAGACAAGAGACTGAGGAGAAAATGTGCCAGCTGAGGACAATAAGTTTAAGGAGACTTTCTTTGAAACTCTCCCTAGTATTCTTGGTTAGTGATGCTTGTAAAGGGAAATTCTGTTATTTGCTATTTTTAATGTATAGAAGGAACCAGTAAGCAAACACCAAGCAAACAAACATAAATGCATTAAAAACTGCTCAGAGGACCAACTTTTCAATGTCCTGACAACCGCTCAAAACACCATAGCAGAGCTTCATGGTGGCCACCATTCAAACAAAACATCTAATTACAAATGCAAAAGTCACCATTGACTCCTAATGGATGATGCCATCACAGAGGAGCCTGCCTTTATTTAGAAGAAGAGAGAACCCAGGGAGCTGGTACTTGTGCTGGCTATGCACACTTACCGCTGAATGCTGAATGACAAATAGTCTAAATCATAAGGTCCCAATTTGCAAGCAGCCTCTTAAATGTGATGGAGTGGAGAGTGACAATGAAAAATATGATACCTAAATTCCTAAATTAAGGTATGGTTTAAAGTTCTTAAAATGGATAGTTCACCCAAAAATTAAAATTGTCATTATTTACTCAACATCATGTCATTCCAAACCTGTATGAATTTCTTTCTTCTGTGGAACATACAAGAAGATAATTTGAGGAAAAAAAATGTGTTCAAACAATAGAAATCAAGGGTAACCAAAATGGTTTGGTAACATTCTACAAAATGTGTTTGTGTTCCACAGAAGAAAGTCATACAGGTTTGGAATGACATGAGGGTGAGGAAATTATGTCAGAATTTAATAGCAGTAAATTTTCTGCATTCTAGCTCAAAATCAATGCTTTACTGTCAAGTGCATTTCTATGTGACAAAAATGCTTTATTACGTTTGTTGCATTTGCTGTGAATTCAGTAATATCTATCATCATTTGTTTCTGTCCTGTTTTATTTATTCATTTACTCCAATTTAAGGCCCTATAACCCAGCAAAACATTCACATGGGAACTTGTGGGCTGGATGGGCTGGATTTGTCAGTTCAGCCCTGGATGCAGGGTTGTCAAGTCCGGGGTTTTTTTTTATTTTATTTTTTTTTCCTTCATGGAATTGGGCTACTTAAACTGTTGCCATGGGTTGATTTTCCCCCATGGGTTAAAGGTTTGAAATGTTGCATAAATTACATTTGACTGAAAAGCTTGTATTGAAATATTTAGCATTCTACCTATGATAAAACTGTGCTAGATGTTAAGTTTTGTGAAGGAGGACCACTGGTAGGAAGCCTTTTAGCTGTGTTTATGATCAATATGCATAACAATGAAAGTGATACTTGGATCCCCAGACATCACAGACCTGGTCGCAAGGTTGATGAAACATCAGGTAAGTTTGGGGAGAGACCATGCCGCTCCGTCCCCGAGGGTCCTGCAGAGAACCAGTGGGAGTGTGGTGCTTGCTTCTCTCCCACGCTTAAGAAGGTCTCTGATTGATGACATCATTATGTGATGTCAAGAAGCGAGCAGTGATTGAGATTAACCATTTCAATCAGAGACAAGAGACTGAGGAGAAAATGTGCCAGCTGAGGACAATAAGTTTAAGGAGACTTTCTTTGAAACTCTCCCTAGTATTCTTGGTTAGTGATGCTTGTAAAGGGAAATTCTGTTATTTGCTATTTTTAATGTATAGAAGGAACCAGTAAGCAAACACCAAGCAAACAAACATAAATGCATTAAAAACTGCTCAGAGGACCAACTTTTCAATGTCCTGACAACCGCTCAAAACACCATAGCAGAGCTTCATGGTGGCCACCATTCAAACAAAACATCTAATTACAAATGCAAAAGTCACCATTGACTCCTAATGGATGATGCCATCACAGAGGAGCCTGCCTTTATTTAGAAGAAGAGAGAACCCAGGGAGCTGGTACTTGTGCTGGCTATGCACACTTACCGCTGAATGCTGAATGACAAATAGTCTAAATCATAAGGTCCCAATTTGCAAGCAGCCTCTTAAATGTGATGGAGTGGAGAGTGACAATGAAAAATATGATACCTAAATTCCTAAATTAAGGTATGGTTTAAAGTTCTTAAAATGGATAGTTCACCCAAAAATTAAAATTGTCATTATTTACTCAACATCATGTCATTCCAAACCTGTATGAATTTCTTTCTTCTGTGGAACATACAAGAAGATAATTTGAGGAAAAAAAATGTGTTCAAACAATAGAAATCAAGGGTAACCAAAATGGTTTGGTAACATTCTACAAAATGTGTTTGTGTTCCACAGAAGAAAGTCATACAGGTTTGGAATGACATGAGGGTGAGGAAATTATGTCAGAATTTAATAGCAGTAAATTTTCTGCATTCTAGCTCAAAATCAATGCTTTACTGTCAAGTGCATTTCTATGTGACAAAAATGCTTTATTACGTTTGTTGCATTTGCTGTGAATTCAGTAATATCTATCATCATTTGTTTCTGTCCTGTTTTATTTATTCATTTACTCCAATTTAAGGCCCTATAACCCAGCAAAACATTCACATGGGAACTTGTGGGCTGGATGGGCTGGATTTGTCAGTTCAGCCCTGGATGCAGGGTTGTCAAGTCCGGGGTTTTTTTTTATTTTATTTTTTTTTCCTTCATGGAATTGGGCTACTTAAACTGTTGCCATGGGTTGATTTTCCCCCATGGGTTAAAGGTTTGAAATGTTGCATAAATTACATTTGACTGAAAAGCTTGTATTGAAATATTTAGCATTCTACCTATGATAAAACTGTGCTAGATGTTAAGTTTTGTGAAGGAGGACCACTGGTAGGAAGCCTTTTAGCTGTGTTTATGATCAATATGCATAACAATGACTGTAAAATATGTATTTTAGGTATGGAAATGACATATTTTGAGTTTTGATATTTGAGATACGGTCATTGCGCTACTTTGGGCGCTACTTTAACCACCAACCAAACACACCCAGCCACCCATGCACTAGGAAGTTCTGACTCACTTGTTTCTCTAGGCAAGATAATTTATATGCATTACTGTTCAAAAGTTTAGGGGCAATAAAATTTTTTTAATAAATTCTTTATTTATTTATTTTGAATCAGCAAGGAGGCATTCAATTGATCAAGTGGCAGTAAAGACATATATAAAGACATAAATAAATGCTGTTCTTTGGCACTTTATATTTAACAAAGAATCTTGAAAAAAAAAAAATATCCCAGTTTACACAAAAATGAACATTGATAATAAGAAATGTTACTCAAGCAGCAATCAGCATATTAGAATGATTTCTGAAGGATCAGCTAAATATATTATAATAGAAAACAGTTACTTCAAATTGTAATATCTCACAATTATATGTCTATGTAAACAGGGCGTGAGAAGGGAAAGAATAGGAGAGAAAGAGCAACTGGTGTGTTTGAAAGCTAGAACAGGCCGCTCCACTGATGCTCCTCTTTTGATTAGGCTTAAAGGACTAAAAGAAAGACAACAGCACGGTACACGCAGGTTCACCCAATGCCCTCTCCTCCATCTCTATTAGAGCGTCCTCTATCCCCACTGTTTTACACTGATGATATCACCCCGTTCCTGCATCCAGTGCTTTTTCTGTCCTACTGCGATAATACTATATCTGCAAAAAGAGTGAGTGACTGTCGACAGCTATGGAAGACATGTTAGGTTTATCCCACTGGAAGAATAAATTAAGAGAGGGATTTGCAGCAGTTTGGATGCTCTGAGATACTTTAAAGTGATTGTAGATGCCAAGTTTAAAACTGAAACCAGGGTTTTAGGCTTGTCTCTGCTCTCCCCATTCAAACTGAAACAAGAACATGACATGGCAGAGCCCTGTTGTGTGTAAGAATTTGCAAATGTGTGTGTGTGTGTGTGTGTACGTACTGGTATATATGGTTTATGAGGACACAAATGTGTATAATGACGGTCGCCGTGATTTTGCCAAGTAAGACATGTTCCTGGATCAACATCTTTTGTTGATCCTGGATCAACATTACTTTCCAAAAATATAGACTAAACCAATCCCTATCCCTAAACCTAACCCTACCCATAATTTATTTCTAAAATCAGTGTGGAATGATAGCTCATATACAAGGTTGTAGAAGCACCTAACCCTGATCGTAAGCCTAAAACAGATATTTCCTGAAAAGTTATCCCTCAATTCTGATTGTTTAATTGGAATGTTATTCCAGGATCAACAAGGATGTTGATCCAGAAACATGTTGTACTTGGTGAAATCACGGACACCATATAATGACATGGGTACTACAACGGAAACATGGTTTATGAGGACACTTCCTGTGTCCCCGTAAAACAAAATACTTAAAAAAACATACAAAATGGTGTTTTATGAAATTCAAAAATTACCAGTAGTTTTCTGTAAGGGGTAGGTTTAGGTGTAGGGTTGGTGTAGGGTGATAGAAAATAAAGTTTGTACAGTATAAAAACCATTACGACTATGGAGAGTCCCCGTAAACCACAAATGCAAGTATGTGTGTGTGTGTGTGTGTGTGTGTGTGTGTGTGTGTGTGTGGGGGTGTGTGTCACCTTATCGCTGTTGTAGTAAGTGAGATTTCCTCCTTCAAGCTTCACCCATCTTCTCTGAAAGACACAGTTCCTACAAGTACAAAACAAAGTGTCATACTGACAAAAGTCAAAACACATCATTATTCATGTTACAACATTAAAATAATAATTATTGGGGGTTTATTATATCAGGGTCATTTGAAACAAAATGAAGAATTTTAGCCAGTGCTACCATGCAACCGGCATTGTGGTGTGTCAACAAGCAAAATAAAGCATTGAGCACAAAGAGGAAGAGAAAAAAAAAAAAAACAGGAAGGCAGTTTTTACTGGTGGGTGTAGCATGTGCGGAAACTAATACCAAAATAAAGTGTGAAATACGCTGCGAGTTTTTGCCCACCTCTGTTGATGCATTGTACACTTGCTTTCAAAAATTATTTATAAGGGTCAGCAAGATTTTTTTGTGTTTTTGATAGAAGTCTCTTATGCCCATCAAGACTGTACTTATTTGATCAAAAATACAGTAAAAACAGTAATATTGTAAAAGATTACTACAATTTAAAATTATTTTTTTGTTATTTGAATAAATTTTAAAATGAAATGTATTCTTGTGATGTGAAGCTGAATTTTCAGCAGCCATTACTACAGTCTTCAGGGTCAGTTGGTGCTCAAGAAACATTTCTTACTATTATCAATGTTGAAGACAGTTGTTCTGCTTAATATTTTTTTAGAAACAATCATACATTTTTTCAGGATTCTTTGATGAATAGAAAGTTCAAAAGAACACCATTTATGACAATTTCTAACAATGTATACATCATACATACCTGTGATCCATTTAATGCATCCTTGCTGAATGAAAGTATTAATTTCTTTTTTCTTTTCTTTTTTTTATAAAAATCTCACTGACCCCAAACTTTTTAACAAGGAGGAAATTGTATTCTTAAAATCGAAGCTGTAACGTCCAAATGGAAATGAAAAGTAAAAATAAAAGAGAAACCAGAAACTTCTGTGGTACCTTCATCTCAATGCCATCATGTATATTTTAATGACAAATTTTCAATCATTTTAAAAAGCTAAGCAGAATAAGGAAGGACACCTTGCAATTAAAGACTCAACATGTTAACTGACTCAGCACGCGATGTCAAGCTGATCAAGATAACAAAAATCCACCATAATTTGATTCTTTGAATTTGAATAAATCATTAAATATCAAGCAGTAGCCATTGTTTACTGCTCTTAGTACTGGAGCATTTAGAAATCATTGCTGCTAAATGTGAAACATGTATTGTCATGACCATTACAGTGGATTCAAGCTCTAAAGGTTTGGGCACTTCGCAGTCAGCTCACTGCGGTGTGAAGTATGTTGTGTGCCTTCAGAAGAATTGAAATGCAGTGCATGAGTCATGTAGACTACTTTCATGGTTATAAGGTCATATTAACTGAATGGCAAAAAGCTGCATGAAGTGCACCTTCTGCGCTCCAAATATAAAATAACAATGTATGGAGAACAACATTGTTGGGTGAACTATTCCTTAACATTGATACTTTAATATGTGCTTTAGTACTTGACTTGCAGCATTCTCAAGAATAATCCTTAAAAAATGCATGGTCTGCATGGTCCTTACCCTTGAGGGGAGAGTTTGTCTAGCCAGCCTGCTTTGGTGGCTGCAGTACGGGTCCCATAGAAGCAGGCATAGGGAGAAATGGAAACTTCTGTTTGAGATGGAAGGTTTGGTCTCAGTAGGCCTGGTATGTCATCTTGCACCATACTGTATATGTCTTGTACAACTGATTGTGGCTGGGCTAAAGCTGATGGTCCAGTGCTCGAGAGAAGAGTAGACGGTGTAGGTTGTTTAAAAGAGCATTTATTAGCCAAGCGCTGACTAAGTGTGGATTCTTGTACAGTGGAGTAATCATCATCATCATCATCATCGACATAATGTTGCTTGGAAAGGTCTTGCTTCTTGTTATTGTGTGTTATTGTCTTGCTTCTTGTTATCTGTGTCTGCTTGTTTCTAAAAAAAAATTTATTAAAATAATTTGTTAAGTTGGCATAAGGAAAGGGCAAAATAATAACATTTACAATGATTAGGTAAGTAATTTCACTTCATTTCCATTGCTTTATGTTCTTTGAAATGATGACCATATTTAGCAAAAGGGACACTGTTCCTGAAGAACATTAAAGGGATAGTTTACCCAAAAGGTAAGAATATTTGATAATGAACACTTTCATTATTGAAAATTAATTCACACCCACGGTGCTGATTATTACACCTGGCCAGCATATCCTGCAAACCACAATGCTGTTTACAGAGATCCTCTGAGTAACACAGTGGCCATATGAAAATCTACAAACCATGTTGAAATCACAGAAATCAACAAGAATTAGAGGACTTCACATACAAATTTATTACCACGATGGAGGTGCCCTTGAGCACTGCACCGAACCCCCAACTGCTACCCGGTTGGCTGCCCACTGCTCCAGGTGGGTGGGTGTGTGTGTGTGTGTGTGTGTGTGTGTGTGTGCACTTGGATGGGTTAAATGCAGAGCACAAATTCAGAGTATGGGACACGATACTTGGCCACGTCACTTCACTTTCACTTTAACTTAAAAAACAGGCCAAAGGACACCGAAGTTCACCTTAACTTCTGTTGTTCCAGGTTCTCTTTTACTCCTTGACTGGACATTACATCATTGCCCAAATCCTGAAAAAACAAATGCAATCAAGATGAAACTAAAAGCAAGCCTATTTTCTAAATTATGTTTTCAAATACCATTCACCCTTGTTATGAGTGTCTTAATGCAATTTTGTACAATGTCCTATCTTCTTGGTTTGTTTAGCTTTCACAAGGCAACATTTCAAAGCGTACCTTAATGTTACATATATATATAATTTCTCAGTAAGAGTGGAAATCAAAGCTTTGTTGGGACAGCATTTTTGCAATGCACCCATTTGTAGAGAAGAGTAATGACATTTTAAGATTTTTCTTTGGTTTTCAAGTGCAATAAGTAATATTCTCACCTACAGAATTAGACACTGCTGCTTTTTACTTAACACATTTTCAGTTATGAATTATGGCACAGATGACACAGCTTGGTTCATTGGTCTGTTGGCTCAGACTGCTCTTTCATCACAAGCAAAGCACTCCAGAGTTTGTTTTCAATTGGGCCGAGACCACCTTGTTAAGGCAACCTCAGACCAAATATTTTGGTGCAGATCCCAGCACAATTGCCATGTTCATATATGGCTAAATAAACTGAAGTAGGGGAGAAAACGTGGCAGGTTCTAAAACCAAATGTTCCAGGTATGAAAATGGCTTTACTGAAACTGTAACTCATGCTCTACATGTGAGGTCATTGTAAATCATGTTACTTTATATGTAACATTCATTTTAACACAACAAATTCCAGCACAGGCAGGTTTTGTATACACTCACCGTTTCTATTTCTGCTGAATTGTACAGAAAAAGCTCTCCATATGGGGCAATGGGGGACAAGGTCCTTTGAAGTGATGCTGTAATTAACACAACAGGAATGAATCATTATGACAAAGCAGGTTGTGGTTTGATTCTGGGAGGAGGGCAAAGGAGAAAGAGTAAGACAAAGAATGAGGCAAGAGAGAGAAAAGAACAAGCATAAAATGAGATCCCACACATTGTCCTTTAGCGTAGCCAGCTTGGAAAATGTACCAAAGAGGGAGCAGCTTGGATGACTGGTTGTCAAGGTGACAAATGACCACCATATCTCTGCGGAGACAGTAAGGGACAGCATGACTTCCAGACTGTTCCCTCCGGACAGACACACACATAGATATATAGCTAATAGACAGGGCCCCCCACTAGATAAGACCCTACTGTAGGGTGTTTGATCTAGACGCCGCTATGTTATCTATGATAGAACTGTACTGTATTGTATCACATCTTAACCCAGTAGCAAAGGTGTCCTTTCAAATCAGTGTCATCGTTTATCATTATCAAGAGTTGGCCTTCTAACTACAGATGATACACTCGCTCTATTTTTCTCTCTCTCTGCCCTATTTTATCCGTCTTCCACAAGAACCTGTTTCAGGACAATTGTGTAAATCTCTGATCATAAAGTTCTTCTCTGTTGCAAACTGATTCTCTGTTCCCGCTGTACACTTAAAACTTTTCTTCTAAAACTTCATCTACCTTGTACCTTTCTGTTACATTTTAGTGGAGACTCAAATGTAATGAGACTCTCTTTTCTGGAGAGAAAGTTAGAACAGAATTTGGTTGTAGATCTAGTAGGTATAGGCATTATTAAACCACTTTTACACCTAAGCCTGGTTTCTGATTTCAAAGATTAGTTCACCCAAAAATTTTAATTCTGTCATTAATTATTGCTCCCCTTTCAAAACACAAATTAAGATATTTTTTAAGAAATCTGAGAGCTTTCTGACCCTGCATAGACAGCAATGCAACTACCACATTCAAAGCCCAGAAAGGTAGTAAGGACATCGTTTAAAATAGTCCATATCACATCAGGGGTTCAACCGTAATTTTATGAAGCTATACGAATGCTTTTTGTGCGCAGCACAGCAGCACCACATGCATGCGTCATGGTACTCTCGTGAAGGGCAGTGGACAGTGATGCGGAAGAGAAGAATTGTTGAATTAAGTCATTATTTTTGTTTTCTTTGGGCACAAAAAGTATTCTCGTAGCTTCATAAAATTACGGTTGAACCACTGACGTCACATGGACTATTTTAACGTTGTCCTTGCTACCTTTCTGAGCTTTGAACGTGGTACTTGCGTTGCTGTCTATGCAGGGTCGGAATCAGAAAGCTCTCAGATTTCATCAAAAATATCTTCATTTGTGTTCAGAAGATGAATGAAGGTCTTATGGGTTTGGAACGACATGAGGGTAATTATGACAGAATTTGAATTTTTGGGTGAACTATCTCTTTCAGTGTAGCTCCCAATTCCCAACTACACACACACACAGTCACATGCAAACAATTTCCAAACTATTCCTCAAGGAAGCTAAAAGCACCTTTCCTGCCACAATTACAAACACTGCGACATGTTCAGAACAGGGACACAATGGTACATTTCAAAGCCAAAGGCAGTTTCAAAGACACACACATAAGCGAGTTGCTGTAAGTTTGGCAAACTAGGCTTCTCCTCATGCATGCATGAGAAGATAAAAGCAAATTCCATTGGGAGACTGCATCCCATTTATTTTAACAGGATCACAAATCAGAACAAAATACAGTATCTCACAGAAGTGAGTACACCCCTCACATTTTTGTAAATATTTTATTATATCTTTTCATGTGTCAACACTGAAGAAATGACACTTTGCTATAATTTAAAGTAGTGAGTGTACAGCTTGTATATCAGTGTCAATTTGCTGTCCCCTCAAAATAACTCAACACACAGCCATTAATGTCTAAACCACTGGCCACAAAAGTGAGTACACCCCAAAGTGAAAATGTCCAAATTGGGCCCAATTAGCCATTTTCTCTCCCCGGTGTCATGTGACTCATTAGTGTTACAAGGTCTCAGGTGTGAATGGGGAGCAGGTGTGTTCAATTTGGTGTTATCGCTCTCACTCTCTCATACTGGTCACTGGAAGTACAACATGGCACCTCATGGCAAAGAACTCTCTGAGGATCTGAAAAAAAGAATTGTTGCTCTACATAAAGATGGCGTAGACTTCACATGAAAAGATATAATAAAATATTTACAAAAATGTAAGGGGCGTACTGACTTCTATGAGATACTGTATATAAACCACTGAAGTTGAAATAAAGTGAAAAGTAGTGTACCTTTCTTACTGCCTGTGGGGAAGACATGTCCCTCAGACCTTGAGAGATGGTCACTGTTGTTATTTGCTGCCACATTCCTGCACACACATTTGTAAGGAGAAAAGTGTGAAAGTTTTGTGCATTTCTGATTGAATGGATAAAAAAACAACAACATTTTACAGTCCCATTCATTGACACCCAAATTAGGACTCCAAAATATGCCCATGCGCTGATCACTGAAGGACATGCATCACTTGTGAAAAGTACTACAGTATTTTTTCAACTACGGGCAACTATGCAATCTCTAAAAGCACTTTATTTTTTCTGCCAGCACTATCTAGCCTGCATCCTGAGATACAGGAAGCGTTACGTACTTTTTGTCATTTGTTTTTGGAAGTCATGAACATATTCCTTTCTAAAGAATGCTTTACTTATTTAAAACAATAATGATGTTAAATGATCTTTTGGTGAGTCATTTCTCAGACAAAATTGATCTGCGATACATTTGTGATTAATTAGATTACAAATGTAATCAATCGACAGGCCTTTTTTTATAGCCCTATTTATTATATAATTTGTGGAAAGGAGTTCAGGTAGAGAAGTTAGAAGCTCAGTTCTGCACAGCTATAACGTCTGAAGAGACTTGTGAGAAATCATACAGGGGTGAAGCCAGTCAGTTGAGTTTATGAAAGTGAAAGTGACGTGACATGTGGCCAAGTATGGTGACCCATACTCGGAATTAGCATGTTGTCCTGTGTTTTACTGCATATAATCCATACATGGAAAGTAGAACCAATGTGGCATTCATTACAAGATGATTTGTTAAAACATTTCAAAATGCACCTGCATTGTTTTGCATTTTGTGACTTTCATTCAAATGAAAGGCTACTTTTCCAGTCATATTTTTCATGATTGAAGATTTCTTAAAAATAGTGTTAAAATATTATCTCACCTTGTTCTCATGAACCCAATATCGCGTATGGTCTCATCTTGTGAGCTAAGTGTCTTGTCACACTACTACTTAATACATATGCTGGCATTAACCATGCCTGTGTGTCGCTGTGTCAGCAACCAAAAATACTCAACCTAGACTTAAAAAAAACTCACCAGTCATAAGGAGGTTTGAAGGGATGCTCGGGGATCTCTGGAATGGGCCTGTGTCGTAGCTTATAGGAGAGGGTAGAACTCAGCTCAGAGGGTTCCTTAATGAAGGTGCACTGCTCATATATTTCATTTTCAACCATTTCTCCCTGAAACCCTACAGAAGCTCCTTCTGAGGGAAAGTCATCATTCTCATCTGGAATAGGTTCTTCTAAAAAGTTATCCAGTGATTCGCTGCTGCCATGCTCAGAGGCGGAGCTAGAGCTGGAGGAAACAGTGTAACATGTAACACTAGTCCCTGAAAGAAGAGTTTGCTTTGTCGTCTGGATGTTACTGCCCTGAGAATGCTGACAAGATATGCCTCTCTTCTTAGCCTTGGGAAACACTTGTCTAGGTCTTGGGATCGGCTTTCTCCTCGCGGGTACTTTCATAGAACCTTTACCTCCATCCACTTCCACCATCAGGGTCTCCAGGCTGCTTAGGATCCTCCGCCGGTGTCCTGTGGGAATATTGTCGACCTCAAAAAGCTTCTCCTCAGTTAGGATCCTAAGGTCTTTAAAGCAACGGTAGCCAGCCTTGGCGAAGCTGGAGGCATATTGGGGCAGGTGCAGACTGGTCAGCCATCCAGTAATTTCCTGGTCAGGCTCCATAAAAGACTACACGCAGGGGTCTTTAGTGGTCATGAAGACTACCATATGCCATTGGATGATGAGGTTACTCTGAGGCAAGCTGAAAAGATGTGGGAACCCACCCTAGGAAGAATAAACCTGATTGTGAATAAAAAAAATTTGCATTAAACAAACAAACATGTTGGTGTTTAGGAGTTGAACAACCAAATGCCTCAAGTATGAATCATCTTGACAGACTAAAAATACAAGTTTTGTAGCATAAAAACCTGCATCTGTTTAACATGGTATTTGCACAGGTCACATGTATGAACACATACATATGAGAATGGCATAAAAAAAATACGCTGGTGCTTAGCCATTCAGAGATTTAAAAGGAAGCAAGATAAACCCAAGATCTATCCATATATCCATGATACTACAAGAAACCAGTGACACTGAAAAAGGGATGATATGTAAAGTCTTCTTGTTTTTCTTAGAATCAGTGCTTCTGCAGTCCATTCTGAACAAGATGCAAAAGATTTATTGTTTTTTAGAGAGCCTTGGTTGACTTGGGATGAAACCCAAGCAAAAATTAATAAATTGTAGAATACACCCTTTTATGAACAACATAAGGTCTGAATCAACAAAGTATACTCAGATTTTGAAGTTTAGATTCAACATTTGAAGCAACAAGCCAAATTAATCTTAAAAGAAATGTGTTTATATTTATAAACACTATCTATATCTCATTTCCATCCTGATTTTATAAGATCTGACTTTTTTTGGTTCAGACTACAGACTAAGATCAGACTACAATTTTGTTCTAAAGAGGGAATGGAAACTTGGTTGTGTGGATCTGTTTCATGAATCAACGCTAAAGGCCTGTTCACACCAAAACAAATAATTGGTTTGAAAATTTGTTGCAATAAACATTTTAATTTGAATGAACAGCATTTCATGTGTCTGTTTAGACAGACACGAACATTCGCATGCATCAACTTGCCAACCTACAAGAGTTGCACTTTTTTTCATGTACTCATAGATGCTGCTGTTACATAAAAATATGATTTGGTGGCACACACAAAAGACTATTTTGCTAAGCAACAGTGAATAGCAGAGGAAGAATCCGGGCTCAGCTCTCATCTCTGTACTCTTCTATTTGGTGCAACATTTTGACCAATAAGGCGTTACAACAAAAAAAAGTAACCGTTTATAGCTACCAGCTATTTTCTGGTAACTATTTTTATTTTCTGCAATAAATCAGGATGGAAATGAGATATAGATAGTGGTTATAAAGACCTTTCTTTTAAGATTAATTTAGCTTGTTGCTTCAAATGTTGAATCTAAACTTCAAAATCTGAGTATTCTATGTAGATTCAAATCTTTTGTTGCTCATACTTTATATACAGGTGCATCTCAATAAATTAGAATGTCGTGGAAAAGTTCATTTATTTCAGTAATTCAACTCAAATTGTGAAACTCGTGTATTAAATAAATTCAATGCACACAGACTGAAGTAGTTTAAGTCTTTGGTTCTTTTAATTGTGATGATTTTGGGTGTGTGTGTATTTTATAATTTATGGCTCTTTGAAAACATACCAAGTGTTATTTTTAAATCCTCAGAATGGACTGCAGAAGCATTGATCCAAAGAACAACAAGATGACTACATATCATCCCTGTTTCAGCTTTACTGGTTTCTTATTGTCTCATGGCTAGATCTCTGGGTTATTTCTCTTGCTTCTAAACCTCTGAATGGCTAAGCACCATT